TCAGGAGTTCGTGAAAGCTGAATTTGAATTTGCAGTATCGCACGTGGGCAAAGGATAGTAACCTAAAATCTCGGCTTCCCCGCTCCCGTGGTTGCCAAAATAATTTCCCCCACCAAAACTTTCACAGGGTCATATGTGGTACCCAAACATAGGGGCAAGCTGAACTTAAAGTTGCGGGGTCGTGTTTGAGCAAAAGATATTGCTGTAAAATTTTAGCTCCCTAGCTTTTGTGACTCGCGAGATAATAATTTCTCCGCCAAAACTTCCTCGGGATCGCACGTCATACCCAAGTGCGCCGGAAGACTGAATTTAAATTTGCGGAGTTATATACGGGCAGCGCAAATTACCTTAGAATTTCAGCTTCCTAACTTTTATGGTTCCCCAGATAATAATATTTCCAACCAAAATTTCCTCGGGGCCGCGCATCATACCCGAGTGCACGGGAAGGCTGAATTTAAATTAGCGATTGGTTGTATATGGGCAGCGCACATTACCGTAAATTTTCAGCTTCCTAGCTTTCGTGATTCCCGAGACAATAATTCCTCCCATCAAAATTTTGGCGAGGTCATACGTGGTACCCACGAGCAAGTGAAGGCCAAATTCAAGTCTGCTAGGTCGCAGGAAGGCGGGGAACATCCCACCAAAATTTCAGCGCCGTAGCTTCAACTTGAAAATGCGGGACAAAACGCATTCGGACACACACAGACAACCCCGTACTGTTACACAACATAAAGCGCATAAGTAGTCAAATTCTGAAAACACCGAAATGCAAACAGGAGAGGTTAGAGCTACTGGGAGAAATACTCAACTTTTACCCATTTCCAACCTGCTTTTCAGCCGACACTTCTACATTTACCATGCTCAGAGCATCAAATCTCGAACACACACCTCAGGGAAGTACTTGGAGTCCTGAATTTGCGCCTCACGAAGTCCTGAAACTCCAGCCAAAATCTTACAAAATCCGGTAGATTCCGCGCAGTAACTGTTGAACTTTCTCACGGAAGCCAACCTTTCCGAAAAGCTGATTTCCCGAATACAGCGCCACAGTTGGATTCTCGAAGAAAACTCCCAAAAAAGCGCTGTTCGGTGGCAGACTTAGGCCTTCCACTGAATTCCATTCCAATTACGAGTTTTACGAGTCTTCACGAGCAGATTCTAATTGTTCCAGTGGCCATTTGGCAGCATCATCATTCACTCTGTCCGTGTGGAATCTTCTACAGCTAAGACAGACTCCTATCTTTCTACTGTATTACAGGCCATTCATCTTACGCACACGGGTTGTTAACACTATTCACCACTTTTTCGCGTCCGCTACTTTTGATGTTGTCAAGCATAACAAATATTCCCTTTGCATATTCGAAACATAAAAGTAAACTGCTGGGAATATCTTAATGGAGAAACTTCGAGTACTATTTCAATAAGTAATGCGACGCAACAAGCGAGCTTTTTCAATGACAACTTTATTTTGATGATGAGAATAACAGTTTTTTTTTTTTGAACTGTAATAATATAACAACAACACCACTTTGGCGTGCTCAACGATTCGATTTGGCCACACGCTCCAACTCGTCCTTCTTCTTGATCGCATATGAATTCGACGAGCCCTTCGCCGCATTGATCAGCTCGTCCGCCAGGCACTCGGCTATCGTTTTGATATTGCGGAATGCCGCCTCACGCGCCCCCGTGCATAACAACCAAATTGCCTGGAATTGGCCTGAATCATCGCAACGGCGCAATAACTGCTGATTTCCCCCGACGACTTTTTAGCTCTTATAATACATAAAAGCTTGGTGTTCTCTGATTCGATGATAAACGTTGAAAAAAATAACAAAAAAATAATTGGCCAACGCACGGGCTGCCCGTGCGAAGGTGCGTTTTTTGCATAGTTTCCCGCAGTTTTTGTCGCT